TCTAGACTATAGTTGTCCAAGGCCTTTGCAAACTACGACATTGAACTGCAAACCCCAGGGCACCATCGAGGGGGCCGAGGAGAAGTGAGCTAACAGTTCCTACCATGTTACGATGGCTGTATGCACCAGGTGCTGTGTGCAATCCTCTAAGAGTCCCACAAGGGAGGCACCACTGCTATGCTCAATTAATGCAAGAGGTTGGGACACGGGGAAGAAGGTTGGTGGCAGACACAGAAAGCTGGAGAGCTGGAGTCCAAACCCAAGACTAGAGCTGGGGCCATGCAGAACTGATGACAATGTAGAATCTATCACCTCCCATGAATACCTTCAATCTGGGAACAGGGCTGGAATAAGGCTGGGCAGCCCCCATTGTGGAGTCGGGTAGCACTGGAGGGGCAGAGATAACCTTTGGAGGCCTGTGGAGTCTATTTCCTTGGGATGGCACAAGTTCTACACATGAAGACCCACTAATTGGAAAGCTGGCTCAGCACGGGCTCCTGGGCCAGAGGTGCTAGGAGGAAGGAGCAGCAGATAGTAGAGGAGGCTGGTGGAAAGTGGCCCTTCAGCCTCTGGGGACAGCTCAGTCCATCTTGTCCAGTGTCCTCAAACTGCCTACTCCCTACCACCCTGTCCTTATTCTCACCAACCTGAAGCCACCTCTCCAATCTCTCCCATTTCTCTTACCAATTTTTTCCTATTTTTTTTTGTATATCCTTTTATTGGTACATTTTAGGTGTACGATATGACATTCATCATTGCAGATATGCACCTTTACATACTCTATTGGTTATTTTTTCCCCCTTCCCCAGCCCTCCCATCAACCCCTCCATCCCTCCCTATTTACAAAGGCTTTGCTTCCATTTTTTCATTTTCTCATATTAATTCCATTCCCTTCTTTCCTTTCCCTTACCCCTCCCACTTCCCCCTCCACTTTGCCCCTTTTCTTCCTATTTCACATGATCTATTATACCTTTTAGTCCTTATTTACACTTTCAGTTTCTCACACCAGAGAAACTATTCGGTATTTACACGTGTGTCCTGTTTATTTCACTTAAGAGTATCGCCTCAATGTGCATCCATTTAGCAATAAATGTCTCTAATTTCTTGTTTTTGATGGCTGAGTAGTATTCCATTTAATAAAAAAACCACATTTTCTTGATCCAGTTTCCAGTTGATGGGCATTTGAGCCGTTTCCAAGTTTTAACTATTACAAACTGTGCTGCTATGAACATGGGTGCACCTATATCACTGTGGTATGATTCTTTTAATTCTTTGGGGAAGATACCCAGCAGGGGAATAAAGGGGTCAAATGGGACTTCCAGTCCCAGTTCTTTGAGGTATCTCCATAATGATTTCCACAGTGGTTGTGCCAGTCTACACTCCCACCAGCAGTGGAGCAGGGTTCCTCTTTCCCCACAGCCCTGCCAGCATTTGTTGTTGGTTAATTTCATGATAGCCGCCCTTCTTTCTGGAGTGAGGTAGAATCTCAGTGTTGTTTTCATTTGCATCTCTCGAACGACCAGTGATGTTTAACATTTTTTCATATGTTTATTTGCCATGTCTACTTCTGTGAGAAAGACATCCCTTGTTCCTGGGTAGGAAGGATCAACATAGTGAAAATGGCTATACTTCCAAAATTGCTATATAGATTCAATGCAATCCCAATTGAAATCCCAGCAGTATACTTCATAGACCTTGAGAAAACAATCCAAAAATTCATTTGGAACAAGAGACCCAGAATAGCAAAAGCAATGCTAGGTAACAAAGACATGGCAGGGGGTATTACAACCCCCAACTTGAAACTATATTACAAAGCTACTGTGATAAAAACAGCATGGTACTGGCAAAGAAACAGACATGAAGACCAGTGGAACAGATTAGAAGATGCAGAAACAACTCAGACACACTCAGCCACCTCATCTTTGACAAAGGAGCCAAATACCCTTGCTGGAGGAAAGACAGTCTCTTTAATAAATGGTGCTGGAGAAATTGGGTTTCAACTTGCCAAAGACTAAAACTAGACCTGTATCTCTCACCATGCACTAAACTAAAATCGAAATGGATTAAAGATCTAAATATAAAAACAGAAACACTGAACCGGCTGGAACAGAGGTTAGGTAGAACTCTTGAAGGCATTGGGGTAGGAAAAAACTTTATGAACTAAAACCTCAGTTGCCCATGAACTAGCACAAACAATCAACAAGTGGGATCTCTTTTTACTAAAAAGCTTCTGCACAGCAAGAGAAACCACCAGCAGTGTGAAGAAACACACAATGTGGGAAAAAGCTTTCACCAGCGGTCCCTCAGACAAAGGTCTACTATCTCAAATCTATAAAGAACATAAAAAAATCAGACCTCCCAAATTTAAAGACCCAATCCAAAAATGGGCATCTGAAATGTACTTTTACTGTTAATAATTTTAAGAATATATCAGAGTAACTACACCATAAACTAAGATGATATGATTTACACTTACTGTGTGCTGCAGATATAAATTAAGAATGCAGAAAATATTCTTTGTGTTATACAGCCGAACATAAATTCTTCACAAAATTCACATAGGATAATTTCAAACATACAAAAGCCATTCAAGTTATTGTCAGATATCCAAAGCATGTTAATCTAGTTTTTTGTTGTTGTTGTTTGCAGTATTGGGGATTGAGTCCAGGGTCTTTGCCCTACCTCTCCAGCACTTTGTAAATTTTTTTTTTTTCAATTTTTTGAGATACAGTTTCACTTAGTTGCCCAGGCTGGGCTCAAATTCAAAATCCTTTTGCCTCAATCTCCTAAACTGCTGGGATTACAGGTGTAGGTCATCATACCGAGCAATCTGTAGTATTTAAAATACAGAGTACTGAAAAAGTATAGCTAAATTTTATTTTCTGGTATTTTATCTTAATATTTTCTTGCATTACATATAATCTGTAAGATGTTATTTCAACAGACAACAGCAGAAAAAATAAAATGTGTAAACCGCTTCTATTGTGGTTAAGAACAAGACAGAACTTGGAAGCACTAACCACTGAAGAAACAAACAGAAAAGCTACCATAACATAAGATATTCAAAGGTCAAAAAATGGGAAAATATTTACCATTTCCATATCTGGGGGAGAAAATACTGTTGTATTCCCTCACAGTACTACTTAACATTCTAAAAGTACTAAAAAAGACTAAAAATATACTACCCTATAGTTTAAGACAAAATATATCAAGAATCATCACAGTCTATACTATGTCCCATGCACTGTTGTAAGGGCTTTAAAATAAACTGTCACAACTACTAAAAAAGACTATGTGACACTACCACTCCCATTTTATACAGCACCAAGAAATTTATTTGTCCAAGGTCACAAAACTGTTGCATGACAAAATCAAGATTCAAACAAACAATTTGGTGGCAGACCTCCCTGTTACTCATTCTATTCTTCTGCCAAAGACAAAAGAAAATGTACTTTATTCATGATAGTTAACCACACAATTCCAAGCTCTAATCTTTGTGAGTTCTGTGTGACTGAAGTGAGCAGAAGGCCATTACTGCACAATTAACAGGAGCTTGAGAGAGGAATAAATATTTTCTTAATTGATAGGATGACTTAACTAATAGACATAAGTTAATATTCTGATGAAAACTGATTGTCAGCTGTTGAGACTTCAATGTCCCTGAGGCAATTACAATGGTACTACCTCATATGCTAATGCTATCATTAGTCCAAACACAGGAACCAAAACTTCATGGGAATGCTCATTTTAAAAAAATATTAAATGATTATGATTATCCCTGTTTAAGATTCTAATTTTTTTAGCCAGGCGTGGTGGTGCATGTTTGTAATCCCAGCACTCAGGAGACTGAGGCAAGCAGACTGCTGAGAGTTCCAGGCCAGCCTGGGCTACATAGTGAGCTCGAGGATAGCCTGAATTAAAGAGCAAGACCCTGTCTTAAAAAGAAAAAAAATCTATTTTTTAAAAAAAATATATTTAAGAACACCGTCTAAAAATGATCAAAGAGAACTGAAAATATCTTCAAATTCAACTGAAAGGAACAAGTTATAAAAATGAAAGGTAATTAATATCACTAGGGGGTCTTTCCTTGAACTTCTTAGCTACCAAATCATTCATCTGTGGGGAGCAAAAAAAGAGAGCCAGACAGCTCACGGGAGGGTTTAGCTGAAATTAGATGGAGAGCTCAGAAAACAAGCACAAAGGATTAAGTCAGCATACCTTGTTGGTTTGGTGTTGGTTCCCAAGCTCCTTAAAGTGATTCAGTGCACATGCTCCAACATAGCACAGATCAATCACTTGATAGATCTTTCAATGTACTTTTTAAAAATCACTCCTTTTAATAATTTTAATCCCTGGCAATGAAAATCTATGTTTTTTAAAAAAAATCAGTCCTTTTTACCTGGATAAAAATTCAAGGTATTTTATCTTATACTACTAGATAAGAGGAAACTAGGCAAATATAATCTATCCTAACAATAATATTTAAAGCAGATTATGTATTTGCTAAACTAGCAAAATAAAAAATGGCAGAACAAACAGGAAACAGAAACAATATACTTGAAAGATGTCTAGAACTTTACAATCAAAACAAAATGTTGCTGAAGCCAGTCTCTTAAGTGATGAGCCTTCATTTGTCTAACTGTCCCAATGATTTCACACATATTCATTTGACCAATTTCATATAAACCTTAATCAAAAGAAACATCTTAGATTTTCAAGTTTTTAATTGCATATTTTTATTGGTACAACATGACAGTTTATTTCCAAATAGCAGCTTCTCAAGTGTGAACACCAAAGTAAGTTAGCAAGATGGAGTAACTGATATTCTTTGGTTCCTAAATGAAAACTGGTAAGTAATTAACAAAAGGAAAAATTAGGGACATTAAAAACATTTCAAAGTTTCTAATATAGCCTGCTTTATGCCTAGAAGATCTGGAACTTACTAGGATGCAAAAGCGTAAATTATTTACATGAAAATCAGCCTTATTTCCAATGCTTACCTTCTTTTTATCCCTCATTGAGCCTTTGCCTCGGACCATTATTTTACATCCAGTTTCTGCTTCAAGCTGTTTAGCTGTAAGTCCTCTCGGTCCAAGGATTCTCCCTACAAAATTAAACTGAGGAAAAAAAAGTCATAAATTATTCACTTGCTGCAAGTACAGCTCTTACAATGATTTTCAAGCATACTGTATATATGCTAAAAAGTTAAATTTTTTAAAATGTAAAGTAGAAGTAAAATCTAGAGCCCTCATGAATTTCTTGCCAAGTTTGGGAATAACTTATTTATTAACTCATTGTCTTAGATGAGACTTTCCTATGTATTAATACAACCTATGAATTAGGAATAAAATTGAGTTAAACACAGGTGCTATACTGAATTGTCCACCAATGTGTAATATATACCAGAGTATATGAAAAAAGTGACAAAAAATAAACCAAGAATGTAAATAGTTTCTACAAAATTTGTCTCTTCCAAATGATAATGCTGAAGGAACTGTTTGTTCATTAAGGTAAGTAGTGGTCACTCTTTTAACTAAAATCCTTGGGGAGAAATTGGATTTTATTTTTTAACTAGAAAAGTTACAACTCTGATTTGGCTGCTAAACCGTAAGTCAAAACCTGGGTTTGACCTTGTACTAAATGTGTAAACCTTGGGAGTAAGTATACATTTTCCATCACATTTTCTAGACAATTTTATGCTTGAATTCTTATTTTTCTGTCACTTTTCCATTTCTAACTTTAACTCATACTTCTATTTTCACATGTATCCAAACTCTATGAATAACACAGTGACATATGTAATAGTATAAACAAAAATTTGCCATCCTCAACAGAAACTTCTAGTATTCATATATAGTACAAGTTTTTTTAAAGGCCAATGGGAAGAATAAACTGAGTTTCAATATTGAGAAGTGTTATTTTCCTCATTCCCATGTCATCTGCATTAAAAAAATCAAAGAATGAGTCCCTATCATCAGTTCTACAAAAACTCAGGACTAGGGCGGGGGATTTAGCTCAGTGGGTCCGGCGCCTGCCTCGAAAGCGCAAGGTTACGAGTTCGATCCCCGGTACCAAAAAAAAAAAAAAAAACTCTTTTCCCGCATGAACAATTTAGGGAAGAAGTGGATATGACATAAAAAAAAAAAAAAAAAAAAAAAACCTCAGGAGAGTGGTTTTCATTCATTCATTCATTCATTTATTTAATCAAATAAGTCTTTTTTCTTACCTATACAGCTTCCCTTTTCTTGCCTTGAAATTTATCTGTGTATCACTACATAAAAGTAACAGGCTAGAAAGTCCACTGTTCTGAAGACTTAAGCTGGGTACTTCCTTCACCCTCTGGCTCTCACTCTGCCTCATAGTGTGGCACGCCTACACTATCACATATTAGAAAGTGATTCTCAGATGAAAAGGTGAGTGGTATATATTCATCCTTTGAAATAGGATCATTCCTCCACCCTCCCCCAGGAGATTTTCATGCAACTTTCTTTAACCCCAAGTTGTGTCTCCACAACTTCAGGCACTTGATCTACCTCAACAAGATCCCAAATTCAAAGCCTTTATGTTCTTACCCAATTCCTCATCACAAAGTATTTCATTTACTTCTTTGCTAAACCTAAGCCTCATTTGTCATTTTCTGTTTATGATATATGAACACATAATTGGCTTTCATATATCAACCTAGTACCTAGTAACCTTGCTTCTTCATTACTGTGTCTCATAAATTTTCTGTATGTTCTTTCAGGTTACTTATGAAAATGTATCACTTGCAAATAATGATACTTCTATTTCTTTCAACTATGTAATTTTCATTTCTTCTTGCTATTCTTACAGCACTGGAAACAAACCTTACAATCCAAACCAAATAAAAATGTATCATCTTTTACTAATTCCAGATTTTAAAATAAAGACTTTTAACAGTTCACTGTGAAATCTTAAGTAATCTGTAGATAGCCTTTTCTAGATTATAGTGACTTAACTGCCAAATATTAAACCAACCTTACATTCCTAAAATAAATTCGACTTGATCATGATGCATTATTTTCTTTATAAATTACTGGGTTCAGTTTCCTAGCATTTTGGTCATTTTTTTTTAAGGTACATTCTTGAGTGGAACAGGCCTACAGTTTTGCTTTCTCATAATACTATTTCTCAAATTTTGGCAACAAAGTTATTCTGGCCTCAAAACAACATTGGGATGTAGTCCCTCTTTTTCTCCTCTTAGATGAGCTTGCACAAGACTCATATTATTTATTCCAAAAGTACTGAGTAAATGTACTGATAATGCCGTCTAGTAGCCCCAGAGTTTTCTGTGTGGAAGATTTTTAATTATAGAATTGGTTTAATTCATTATTTTCTATTCCTTGGTATGGTCAATTTTGATACCCTGTAGAAATATGTCCATACTGTCTAAATTTTCAAATTTTTGACTCAGTTTGTCTCGTTTTCTTTTTGATATCTGTAAGATCTGTAGTGATATCCATTTTTTTTACTCCTATGAGTTATCTGTCTTCATTTTTCTTGACTATTCTCCAAAAATACCTACTTCTGTTGACTAGAGTAGACTGATTTCAAAACTGGCCACAATTTTCCACCCTCTCGTGGTTCTTTTTTCATTTGCAATGTAAATGCGCACCTGTTCCCACCTCCTGAATCTAGGATAGCACTGTGCTCTGCTTTGGTCAATACAAGATAATAGAAGGAATAATGTGCCAGTTAAAAGAATGTCACAGCCTTGTGTGGTTTCACTCTTAAAGCCCTATTTTTCCCATGTAGAGAACTCTGGTCTAGCCTGTTGGAGAATGAAAAACAAGTGGCTAGGTAATCATCAATGCCCACAGCCAGTCGACTCTCCAAAGCAGAAATGCCTCGCTGATACACAGCTAACTACAGATACACACCAGAGCTACTCTGCTGAACCCAGCCACAGCAGGAAGAGGTCAAAAAGTGGTTTAAGTATTACAGTTTTGAGGGTACAGTTTGCAGCAGTAGTTAGATGATATACTGATTCTCTTCTCTGGTTTTGACTTACTTGCCTTTTTTCCTTTTACTTCTTTGGGTTTAATCTGTGTTTTTCCAACTTTTTTGAAGTAGATGGTTTACTTATTGTACCCTTTTTAAAAAAGAATGTATAGGGCCAGGGATTTAGCTCAGTGCTTCTGCCGCCTGCCTCGCAAGCGCAAGAACCGATGGTACGATCCTGGGTACCAAAAAAAAATGCATATATTTAAAGATGTACATGTATCTCTACACTGCTTTTAGCTGTACTTCACAAGTTTTCATAGGTACTATTTTCATTACAACTCAGGTAAAAAAAATAATTAGCTACTGAATATTTAAATTTTTTCTCACTTCAAATACAAGAACTTCTGCTTATCTTTAGTTTTGATTTCTAGTTTTCTACACTGTAATCAGAAAATACACTATCTAAAATACTGGTCCCTTTAATATTTTTCAGACTTGCTTTTCAGCCTATGATACAATCAATTTTCATAAATACTCTATGAGTGCTTGAAAAGAATGCAAAGTCTAACTATGATTAAGTTGGTTGTTTCTGCAGTGCTGGGGATCCAACTAGGGCCTTGCTCATTTTAGACAAGTACTCTATAAGTTTTATTTGTTCTTTTACTTCTATTTTTGCTTTATATGTTTAGAGGATATGCTATTTGCCATATACAAATGAAAAATTTTATCTTTCTGTCATTATGAAGTAGCTGTCTTTATTTTCAGTAGTGAGTTTTGCCCTTAAAGCATATTCTGAAATATTAAAATGGATACAAATTTTTGACTTTTCATGTGTATTTGATTCCATTACTTACTATTTTCAATCTATTTTTATCTTTTTATTTTAAATAAGATGCCTATGAACAGCACTTAAATGAGTTTTGTTTCTTCATCCAATCTGTCAATTTTTGAAATTTGTATCAGTCCATTTATACTACATGGTTATATCTACCATCTTACTAAATATTTTCTACATGTCCTAATTCTTTAATGTTCTTTTTTCTTTTTTTTCTTGACTTGTGTGTGCCCATGTGGGTTGGGAGGGAAGGGCTGACACACATGAGCATGTTTTCTTACTTCCTTTGCATTACACCTTGAAAAATCACGTTTATTTACTCTATAGGTTAAAACATGCTTTAAAACATTAATGTTCATTTGTACTTTTACTCATTTTACATACAAAAACCCCAGAGTGCATAATCCCACTTATTCCCAATCTGGTTTATATTCCACTACTTATTTTTCAAACACTACCTATATTTTTCACTCAACAGGATATTAACACTTTGCACAAATAAAATACATTTAAAGTAGCCAACATATTGAATATTTAGTTGTCCTTTATTCTTGTCTGCATGTTCAACTTGCCAACTAGAATCATTTTTCTTCTGCCAGAACGATATCCTTTAGTATATCCTGATATGAAAATGTCTTGTTTTCAGTTTCAGATGTCACGGAAATCTAGCTCAATGGTTATTTTCCTGCAGCACCTTAAAGATGCTGTCTTTACGATTCTACTGTTCCTTCTGAGAAATGAGCTTACTACTGCTCCTGTGAAGGCAATCTTTTTTCTCTTCTGGCTATTTTTAAGATATCCCTTTCATCACTAGTTTTCAGCTTTTTAAATATAATGTGTCCAGGTGTGCTCTGTCTTCATAGTTATCACAATTAGGGTGCAGTTTAATGTGTCCTTGATTTTATTTCTTAAATTTAAAAAATCTCAACCACACTCTTCAAGCTATGCTTCTGCCTCATTCAATCTCTCTTTTTAGTACTACTAACATTTTCATACAGTTTTTATTTTTCACACTTCCTCCTGTGTTGTCCAGCCTCTTGATGCTGAGGATTTTGTGAACTATATACTCCAGTTCACTAATTCTCTTCAACTGCTCCTAATCTGTCAAATCCAACTGTTGAGTTGATATTAGTTGAGGGATCTTTATTATAATTTCCATGCCTCTGCTTAGTGTTTTGTCTCCATATAGTTAACACAGCTCTTAGAAAATGTATGTATGATAATTCTAGTATCTAGAGTTTCTATGGGGCTGTTTTTCTTTTTTGTTATTTGTTCAGATTTTTGTTAATGTCTATCTTGCTTTTTGTACAGTTAGGT